GCAAATGTCGCGCGCGTACCTTTTTGGCCTTAAACAAAGTCGTCGTTTAAGCTGCTTTTATTGTTTCAACCCAGAAGAGGTTCAACAGAAGCGAGATGGTAGAGTGAAACCTTCGTACACAAATTCCCATTCAACAAAGTTCTTGCAATTTGTGCACACATACAAACATACATACATACATAGAACTTTTCGCCGTCGTCATTAATTTTTGCTTCTTCCCTTGCACGTTCTTTTGCCATCCAATTATTTATTGCTTTATTTTCGCAAATTCGTACATCGCACCTGCTCGCTCTGTGACTCTACGTTCGATGCGTTCGTTGCTTTAACTGCTCTTTCAACTTCGACTTCAACTTCAACTTCAACTGCGTTTTCAGTTTCAGCTGTCCATTTCCACATTTGCAGTTTGCAGAGTAAAGTTCTGCACTTCAAGCGCTTTCTGCGTTACTCCAGTTGCTTTCCGGCTTAATTTCTGCTCGCTGTCGGTTCCTCCACTCCGTTGACTACCCAACGGTGACCTGACGCATTAATAGCGTTTTACAGATTCGTTTTAATGCATTCGAACACGAATTCAGTCGTTTTGTGTTACCTGCTGCTTCCGGCTTCCCAAGGCGCTACAAGTTTCGGTATGGGTCGTTGCATCGATGAATTGACTGGGAGGAGCCTTTGGCTGATAGTTGGCAGCTGTAGCAGCTGACTTCAAAAGCATGCAACGGTATTTCCTTTTCTCATCGAGTTCCCACGCAAACAAAGAGGCTGATATGAATGGGATAAAAGCAAAAGTAGAAAGAGGTACATAAAATTCGCTTTGAGGCACACAAACACCAAGCAAAAGCTGTGGCGCGGAAGGAAGCTGTAAAATTTGGGTTTTATACAAGCTATTAGGTGCCGATTGGCATTGAAGACACTGTATTTTGTGGATAGCGAATGAGTTCTGCGAATTTGGTTTGAGTTTGACGGAATGTGAGGATTTTGTGTTGGCTAAATGATTACTTAACCGCCGCAAACAGCAAAGTTGTTGTTGGAATCAGCGTACGCCAATTAAGAAAACGAAGGTCGAACTTTTGTTAGATATTTTTTGGTAAGACGGACGGATAGAGTAACCAAAATAAGGATTTTATACTTTTAATTTTAAGTCTCGCAGAGGTGGCAACCCTATTTCAAAGTGTTCGATTCTATAGGAAATACCAATTTTTGTTACGCGACTAGTGTTTTTTAAAACTCATAAATTTAGGACTAAATTTTCTGTTAAAAAATTGCAACGGGTAAATGGCATTATTTATTTCGCTTTCGATTTTCTATAAACACCCTTCCAGATATAGCACCTACTTAACACTGCATATCCAAGATGTACTTCTTTCCCACCAAACCCTTCAAGTCCAAGGCTGCTGCCACCGCCGCTTTATACTCCTTCAACGGCACCATCTCACACTTGACGCCCTTCAACTTCCCTTGCTCGAACATTTTCATTAGATCAGCGAACATTTTCTCACGCGCAGGCGTTTCGACATGACTCCTCATCCAACGCGTCACCCAAAATCCACAAAATGAGATGTTCTTAAAGATCAGCGCAGGCGTCGAGACCATCACCGGCTGTCGCGACATACCGCCGTAGGTGACCATCACCCCCATGGGTGCCAGCTGTTTTGTAATGTCCGACGCATTCTTGCCACCAACACAATTGAGCGCCAAACGCGGCGCTGGCAGCTTCTTCTTCTTGAAGATATCCGTCTTCGCCAACTCTTCCTCCGTGAGTATTTCACTTGCGCCCAGCTCTTTCAGATAGGTTTTCACCTCCTCCAAATTCGGTCGATTGCGCACCACACCGACAGACTTCAGGCCCCACTCCTTGCACAGCTGATGCACCATCTGTCCCACTGCGCTATTCGCACCATTCTGTATGACACAATCGCCCTGAGTGAGCGGCACAAAATCCTTCAACATGCGATAGGCTGTCGGTGGATTTACAACCAAAGTGGCTGCGGCAGCCAAGTCGATTTCATTCGGAATGCACATCAGCTGATGCTGCTGAAGGAGCGCGTGTGTGCGCCAGGTGCCCAGCGCATTCTCGACCACAACGACACGCTGCCCTGGCTTAAGCTGTTGCACTTTGTTGCCCACCTGCAGCACTTCGGCCACACCCTCATTGCCGGCGATGGCTGGTAGGGGCAGCTTCACTGGATATTTGCCCTGTATGGTGTTGATGTCGGAGGGATTGATGGGTGCGGCTAGCAGCTTTACCAGCACTTGCGTGTCTTCTGGTTCTGATGCGGTGAGCTCAACCAGCTCCAGGACGTCAGCGGGTTCACCATACTTGCAGTATTGCAGCGTTTGTGCGCATATATCCGACGCGTAACGGCGTAACGTGTTATCGGCGGTGTGCCGTCGTAATATAGAAGGTATACGGCGATGTAATTGTGAAAACATATTCGATGAATGAGTCAAGGCTGAATTTATTTGAGCTATTTTCCCATATGTCTGAAAGAAGAAATATTTTTTCTTTCTGTCAATTTGAAGTTGGAGAGCCCAGTGCTGGGAAAATACACTTTAAATTGAGTAAAGTATTTCGTTGATGATTTGAATACCGAAAACTGAGACGCTTTAACCCTCTGACGACCAAGATAGTTAAGGGTATCAAATCAACTGACGTCAGAACTTGGTTTATTTTCTAAGTTATATTTGTAATAAAAGCTAATGTTTGAGTTTGAAACTTTCTTTTCGTTCTCTAAATTGGTTAATGAGTTCAATACGAAACCTGTTTGTTCTTTTCATTCCAAAGCAGCTCACTAAACCCGTAATTTTTTATACGAGTATGTATTTGATATTTAAAGGCATAAAGGGGCGAATGACTGCTATTCTTAGAAAAAAATAAAATCTTGGCTTTCTAAAAAGTGATAGCAATCTATTATTTTTTCTTCAGAAAAAAGCTATAATTTCAGACTTAGAATTTCGAGATCTCGCACAAATATTTACAAGCACTCTATGTAGTGGTTTCAGGTTTTACCCATTGGCGAAAAATCTCAACGTGACTAATCGCGCACAAAGTACAAGTTCTCTTCATCAGATGCCCGCAATGAAGGTCAACTTTCTTTGGTAAATACAAAACTGCGTTTAGTATTGCAAAATAAGTGAAAAACTCTTACGTATTTTGGGGTAATTTCACAGCTGTGCCATTGCGCTTCACTTTGCCGTTTCATATTTAGAGCGTTCAAAGTGTGAGCACACACACACACACACCCACATGCATAGTAGCAAATTGTCGATTACACAACACGCGAAAGTGAAGCCAAAGTCAAGCCGCCGTCCAATCAAGCTGCGAAAATCCAAATTGCTAAGTGAGCCAAGTCGGCCAAGTCAACGGCTCCGCTCCACTGCGTCATTGCGTCGATTGCGGGCAAATGTGGGTGTTTTGACGCATTGTTGTGGCGCTGATACATACGTAGCATAACTGTCGACGAAGAAGTGTGTGCGTGTGTGCGTGTGTGATCGCACTGTCGATTAACATGCGCTCTGATGAATTGTAATTATGTTGTTTATTGGGCGTGTTGGGCAATTTGTTTGAATTGGTTGAACGTATGTTTTGTATGTAGTCGTATTTAGCATAATGGAGGGGTGTTGGCAGTGGACTACATACCCACATACTAAATAGCTCGTTGGCTTAGCACTCCCATATGTATGTACATATGTATGTATGTATGTACTTGTCAGACATAAAGACATGCTGTTAGCTAAATTAAAATACAGTTATTTAAAAACCAATCTATAGCACATATAATGGCTTTGCTGACGGAAAGGATAGGCATTTCAGTTATGACGTAAGATCGTGGGTTCAATGTACAGAGCTGAAAATTTTAGAATGAAATTAAGCTTTCCTGGTCCAGTGCAGACTCAACGATCAGTTGAGATAAAGTAGCAAAACATTTTTTTCTATATATTTTTCTTTTAATCTTTCATTCGTTTTTCGCACATTACAACTGGACATAAATTATTAGTGATTCAAAAGTTGAAAGTAAGCTTTATTTTCAATTAAAACCTGAGTAAAATTTTGTGTTGAGAGAAATATAGATTAAGCTGGCTTTTTTCTCAGTGTAATACATAAGAAACTGGATATACACATCGTCACCTGAAATACAAAAAACCCTAACAAACTCTGAAATGGAAAAATTCCTGGCTAAAAAGAACATTTTTTTTTCCTAAAGCGATATAGGGAGTTGTAATTCGAAATCTATCATATCAATCAAAAAGTGAATTTGGAATTTTTAATTACTTGCGACTTTTTGCATTTCAGCGACGATTTTTGTTACACCTTTTTACATTTCAGGTGACGATATGTAGTTTTTGGTCTACATATGTATGTATGTATAAGTACCTATACACATCGTCAATGCAAAACCGCGTATGTGAGGTTGCATAAATTATTTTATGGATAGTAAAAACTCTCATATTTCAAAATGGTTCTCTTTTTCATAAAGCAATCGCATTTCTGGACGAATGGTTAAGGCTTCCGCCAAGAGCTTTTTTTGCATTTCAGCGACTATATGAATTAGGGCCTTTCTATATTAAGGTAACGATATGCAGTATATCTCTAGACAACAAAAGCGAACTCGAAGCAATACTCTTCCGATCGGGTATCTGGTTATTTTTATCTTGTCATCGTCCGCACAAGTTGGAATAATGAGTCCTCAAAATCTTTTTAAAGCTTCACCGATTGTTTGGCCAATCTATGGCCAACAATGAATTTTTTCATACAAATTAAGAGTGATCAGTGAAGTTGGCATTGTTTTCGTGATTTTCATTTGTTTTTCCATTGAAGATATTTTTCTTACTTAACTGAACAAGATTCCACTACTTGCAAAATAAATAGTAAGTGAATATTTACATATTTAACATACCAAAATGAGACTGGCGCAGCAGCGTAAACTACAAAAATTTTCAAAATTAATTTTACCAGCATTTTTCTGTTTTTTTTTTGTTTTTTTTAATAATCACCTGCAACGCGTTTAAAACGTACAATAATTATTTCTGCAAACAGCCGACAGCAAAGCAACACCGTCTTTATGAAAAAAAACGCCTGCAATTGCGTTTTGCATTGTTTATAAATAATTTGCTGGCATTTTTAGTACTCCAACAACCAAAACAGAAAGCGCCGAAGTAATAATGAAAGTGATTTGCTAAATTAACTCGGGAAAAGTGAAACACATACACATACAAATATGCATATGTGAAATTAAAAAGCTTGCATAAATAAAAAAAAGCGGTAATGCGCGATAAAACTTAAAATATGAGTTAAACTTAACGAAAGCAAAGTTAGTCAAGTTTCCAGCAGTTTAACATGTTATTTAACGGTTCACAAGTGGCGGAAAGCAAAAACTCTCACACACCTGTCCGCATCGTATCAATGTATGTGCTGTATTTAGTGGTGAATTAGTGAGCCTCTGTGTGTGTGCGTGTGTGTGTTTGTGTAAAAAAGTAAGAGATAATTGCAAAATTTAATAAAATCAACGAAACAGCATAAAAGGAGATATATCTAAATAAAACGCAAAAGCAAGTGAACGCTAGGTGGGAGTATTGGCAAACAATCGCTCCGGCAACCAGCAACAACAAAACCAAAACACACGCAGTGAAAATGATAGTGAAAATGGATCCAGACGAATTGATTACACTGCGGGTGCAGTATCTGGTCGATACTGATCCGCTTAATTGTACAGCCATGTATCCGATACCGACGCGTGCACCAACTTATGGCTTTGCCGCCACCATGCCACTGGCCACACAGTTGGGCACCATACTACGTCTGCTTAGCGCGCCACATCGGGTAAGATAACAACTAACATATGAACATAGTACATACTACATACACATACATACATACGTAAATATTCGTAGTTAACTGAATTGCCGTAGTAAACTTTAATGGACTGAGTAACAGCTCTTAATGCCATTGTTATCTAATAGGCATAGCATGCGTCCATACATAGTACTTATAAACATTAGGGGTGTACTTGCAGCGTCCTCAGAAAGCCGCACAGAAAAAAATTCGCATAAAAAAAAGCTCTTTACTTGCATACAAAAACAGGAGATGCGTTCAAATACTCGCATGTAAGAAATTACAAAAAACAGCATACAAAATCCAGTGAGGCAATTTTAAGCAAAAAAAGAACATTAATTAAATAGATAAAATTGTATTTGTATTTTAACCAAAAACAAAAAAATACCACGATAAGTATATGAATTATATAAGAATATAAAGACGAATTAATTTTCAGAAACATTGTCTCTTACACACTAAAAAAAATTGATAACAACCCGCAAAAAAGCCAAATCGCTACAGCGAAAAAATGGTTTGAAAAACCACATAAAAAGACCGAAGTGTAAATATTTTGTTCTAGATATTACTAGAGACTTTAAGTCTCTATTTCATTCTTGACACATTAGCTGTATAAGGATCCAAAGTAAGCTACTTATTCGTACTAAATAAGAATGCCCCTAATACGTAAATACACGCAATATAATTCATATTTATGTAAAATTAAGAGGAATTTAATTAACAATCCTAAATCATTTTATGGTTTCGTAAATTCAAAGCGTAAGGCACATGGTTTTCCGTCCGCTATGCATTATCGCAACACTGTATCTAGCGACAGCCAACTCATTGCCAACATGTTTGCTCGGTTCTTTAGGTCCAATTATTCTGTAGACTTCCCTATAAGTGGAGACTATCCGTACGAGCTTTGTCCAATCAACTCTGCTTATATTCCAGTAATATCTTCCGATGAAGTTTTACACTCTTTAAAAACCTTAAAAGCGTCATTTAGGCCTGGACCTGATCATATTCCGACCTG